TTGCATCACTTGACTGATCTTTTACCTTAGTCGTTGCTGTAGCAGCTGGCTTTGCACACGTGTAACCTGACGGTCGTTCCTGTTAGCTGCACAGAGTACCTCCTGCTTTTTGCCCCAGAGCATCTCTGCTGCCTTGGTATGGAACATCCATGATAATCCATTCACTTATACACAATCTAGAAGTGGGAGGTTGTTAAAGCTCCTGGCTTAGCCTTTCTCTAGCAGGGGATGAGAGTCACTGGACAAATGCTTCCCTCTTCTGGTTCTTATCTCTTGGGAAGACAATTCTGAGCTGTGTTCTAAGGCTCCTTAGAAGGTGCTAGTGGAATGAGCCTAAATTGCCATGGTAGGACAACTCAAAGATGCTCTTTCTTTTTTTGTTGTTTTTTTGAGACAGTCTCACACTGTAGCCCAGGCTGGAGTGCAGTGGTGCGATCTCAGCTCACTGCAACCTCCACCTCCCAGGTTCAAGCAATTCTCCTACCTCAGCACCCCAACTAGCTGTGATTACAGGCGCCTGCCACCATGTCCCACTAATTTTTGTATTTTTAGTAGAGACAGGGTTTCACCACGTTGGTCAGACTAGTCTCAAACTCCTGATCTCAAGCAATCCGCCCACCTCAGCCTCCCAAAGTGCTGGGATTACAGGTATGAGCCACCACTCCCGGCTCGAAGATGCTCTTTCAATTAACTATCCCTTCTTCCTTGTCTCACTCTTCTTAGTCTCCCAGGCCTCTGCTCTAGAATCACTTCTCTAAATAAACTAGCTCCCTACAAACCCAGGGTTCAGGCTTGCTTACTGTGAGAACCCAGGCTTGGACAACATTCACTGTAGATAATTAGACTATACGGTTGCGCATGTTGGTTCACACCTGTAATCCCAGCATTTTAGGAGGCCGGGGTAGGCAGATTGTTTGAGCCCAGGAGTTCAAGACCAGCCTGGACAACATGGCGAAACCCTCTCTACAAACAACAACAACAATTAGTTGGGCATGTTAGTGCATGCCTGTAGTCCCAGCTACTCGGGAGGCTGAGGCAGGAGGATTGATTGAGCCTGGAAGGTGGAGATTGCAGTAAGCTGAGGTTGCACTACTGCACTCCAGCCCGGGTGACAGAGCGAGATCCTGTCTCAAAAGAAAGGAAGAGAGAAAAAAAAAAGGAAAATGAAATTAGAATATAGAGATAAAGAAAAAAAACATGATAATCACCCATAATCTTACCTTCTCTAGAAATTTCTTCCATGCATGTTTGGGTATATATTCTTCCTTTTAGAATGCACATACACACTTAAAAAAAAAGATGCAACTCAGGTTATACTGTATATATGATTATATAGCCTGACTTTTTTCACTTGCTACATTGTGAAATTCTTTTCATGTGATAAAATTTTCTTCTCCAATGTAACGTTTAATAGCTGCACCATAGTTCATTTATTCATTATTTATTGAGCAGCTACTATATTCCAGGCACTGTTTTGGGTGGTGAAAACATAGTAATTAACAAAATAGATCAGCCCTCTACTCTTAAGGAGCTGGCATTCTAGATAGGGTCTTTTTCTCCTTCCTTCCTTCCTTCCTTCTGTCTTTCTTTTCGGTTTTTTTTTTTTTTTTTTTTTTTTGAGATGGAGTCTCGCTCTGTCACCCAGGCTGGAGTGCAGAGGCATGATCTTGGCTCACTATAACTCAACCTCTAGGGTTCAAGCGATTCTCTTGCCTTAGCCTCCTGAGTAGCTGGGTTTACAGGTATGTGCCACCACGCCCAGCTAATTTTTGTATTTTTAGTACAGAGTTTCACCATGTTGGCCAGGTTGGTCTTGAACTCCTGATCTCAGGTGATCCACCAGCCTCGGCCTCCCAAAGTGCTGGGATTACAGACGTGAGCCACCACACCCAGCCAGGATCTTTCTTACATTCTAACGGAGCACAGTTTATTTAATCAATGTCTTGTCTATTGTCGGCAATTAGATTGCTTCTGATTTTCAGTTCTACAAACAATGTTTCAGTAAATATTCACCTACGTATTCTTTGGACTCATGCTCAATTTTCTTCCCTTAGGGTAAATTCCTAGAAGTGGCATTGCTAGAAGAAATGAGATGTGAATAAATGGGGGTGCTGGGATTCCCACCTGAGTCTGTCTGTTTGACTGTAGAGCCCAGGTCATGCCATTACTATTACTACATTGAAAAAAAAAATCATGGTAACTAGAGGCAGCCATGTGATTCTTAGCTGGCGTAGGCATGTGGGCTGTATAATTTAATGATTAACAAGTCATGTCTAGAGTTAAAAAAAAAAAGAGTCCTGGATCTGCAAATTACCAGCTGTGTGATTTTGGACAAGTTTGCCAAATTTTTATGCCTCAGTTTCCTCATTTGTAAAGTGGGGGACAAGAATAGGTCTCATCTTAAAGCGTTGTTATTCATTCAGTAAACATTTACGGCGACTCACGCCTGTAATCCCAGCACTTTGGGAGGCCAAGGCGGGCAGATCACGAGGTCAGGAGATTGAGACCATACTGGCTAACACAGTGAAATCCTGTCTCTACTAAAAATACAAAAAATCAGCCGGGCGTGGTGGCGGGCGCCTGTAGTTCCAGCTACTCGGGAGGCTGAGGCAGGAGAATGGCGTAAACCCGGGAGGCGGACCTTGCAGTGAGCCGAGATAGCGCCACTGCACTCCAGCCTAGGCGACAGAGCGAGACTCCATCTCAAAAACAAAACAAAA